AGTAGTAGAATTGTGCTTTGTTTTATTGTTATTGTGTATGCATGCAGGTCTGTGCACAAGTGGAGGGCAGAGGATGGCCCTGTGGAGTTGGTTTTCTCTTTTCACTAATACATGTGCTCTTGATATTGAATTAAAACTCACCAGGTGTTAGAGACATAGTATTCACTTAGGCTTTGATACACAGCTGTTCATCACAAGTCTGCTCTGGGCTTGAGGCAGAGCACTGGGGGAGAGACCATAGAGTGGGATAGATACATGAGAAGTTTCAGACACTGCTAAAATCAAAGAATATGAAAGTGTGGAGAAGGGTGAGCATTATTATTATTATTATTATTATTTTTTTTTTTTTTTGTAGAATGAGGACTCCAGGTTACATGTTGATAAGGTAACATGGCCTCAGAAGCCTGCAGGGAGCAAATGAGCCTGAATGGCATCTGGAAGAAAGGCTTTTTCCAGCCATAGAGAAGAGCATATACAAAAGGCCACAGGTACAAGTCTGGGAAGGAGTGTGATAGACCTATGGTGAGTAAGCAGATTGGGACCAAGGTGAAGAAGGACATCACAGAAAGGACCACTAGGTCTGCTGTGTTCCAATGAAATGGAAGAACAGAAGACCAAGAGCAAGATCAGTAGCTGAACTCAAGATGGGGAAGGGGTAGCACTGATCAGATATAGAGCAACCCTGAGGGATGGAGCAGAAAACCAGAGTCAAAGAGGGTTCTGATCTCTCTTCTGAGTATAAGATGGCTGGGCAGGAGGGGCTGCTGAAGCCCTTCTAAAGAGACAGATGAAGCCATGGATTTGAAAACTAAATCCCTGAAAGAAATACTGAAAACTCAAGCTGAAATGAAGATAGAGTTGAAAAAAAGTCAGTATCTCCAATTGAAAATCCTGGTGGAAAGCCTTTTTAGGTAGAAGACAAAAATATCATGTTTCAAGGATTTAGTAGAGGAATTAGATCACACAAGCATAGAACATGAAAAATTAAAAACCATACAGGAAAGGACTATGTAGCAACTGTGGGACACCAAATCTTTGAACTATAGGCACAGATGTGGAAGAAGAATTTCAGGTTGATGGCATAGACCAGATCTTCAAGCTCATATGAGAAAATCTCCCACGAGGAAAGACACACCTTATAGATACAGGAAACACATAGAACAACAAATAGAAGAGGAACTCCCCATGACATATCATAGATAAAACAAAGAAAGAGAATGAAAGTAGAAAGAGAAAAAAAAACACAAATCACATATAAAAGAAAATCTATCAGAACAATAGCTGATAGAAACCTGGAAAGCCGGAAGAGTCATGTGCTCCAAACTCAAAATGATTGTGGATGCTAACCTAGACTATTGGACCCAGGCAAACTATCGGCTATAATTGAGAGAAAAGGGAAAACTTCCCATGGTGCAAATAGACTAAAAGAGTTCATGCCCACTAAACTAGCTTTATGAATAACACTGGAACAAAGAGAAGAATACGCATAAATGATTCTAGAAAGAAAACAAAGCTGTAATTACTGAAACATGAAGTATGATTAAGTACAGAGACAGCAAAACAACACACGCACACACATATATACCAAGCCCAAACAAACCCAAAGTGACTATAATCAACACTTACCTTTCAGCAATAACTTTAAATATTAATGGCCTTAATATTTCAATTAAAAGACACAGTATGGCTAAATGAATTAGAAAACAGAATCAACCTTTCTGTCTATAAGAAACTCGACTTTTGAGCTGTGCGGTGGTGACACAAGCCTTTAATCCCAGCACTCAGGAGACTGAGGCAGACATCTCTGTGAGTTCAAGGCCAGCCTGATCTACAGAGCAAGTTCCAGGACAGGCTCCAAAGCTACACAGAGAAACTCTGTCTCAAACAAAACAAAACCACAAAGGAACTCAATTTTCAATTTTAAAGATATGCACAAGTCTAAAGAGAAAGAATAGGAAAAAGTATTCCAAACAAATGGAAGCAAGCCACGCAGGTATTACTATCCTGATATCATGCCTTCATATTAAAATTAATCAGGCAGAAAAGCAGGTAGGCTGGCTGCAGACTCACACCTCCCCACCCCTGCCCCAGTCTCATCCCCAGCTCCGTAGCAAACCACCTGCAGCAACCTTACCTTCCTCTTAGCTCCATCTCTAGAAGATCAAGCAGACCTTCTTCCACAGCATCCTCAACTCACCCTTTTGTCCCAGCCCATAACTCCTGCAGGCATTCCCTGGGAAGCCACAGGCTACACCTTCCTGGGAACATAGGTTGGCTAACAGGAGATCTTCACCTTTCTCCTCTCCTCTAATCCATTCCACAGTCTCAGCTCCAGCTCTGTAGAGGACCACCTGCCTTGATTTGGCCTCACTCCTTGTCTTTACCCCAAGGGGTTAAGCAGATACTGTTGAGACACTTCTACTTCCTATGGACCCTCTCGAACCCCTACTAGCCCATTCCCATTCCTAAGTGCCAGCTTCCAATACCTAGAAATACATTGTACTGGGAGCCCCCAGTGGCTACACCTGTCAGGATCTCAGAAGTAATCCATATCAGGCAAAACACAGCCACTACACTCTCCTAAGAACCAGAGAAGGCAACAGAATTAAAGGAACACAACACCCAACAAAGACAGGACCACATATCAGCACTAGAATTACAGTCATCTGAAACTTAGATGCCTAGATAGCAGTGCAAAAATATAGTAACACTCAGGGCAATGTCTCCAGGAAAACAGTAGTCCCTGAGAAATAAAACATAGCTGAAGCACACGATAAAACTAAATAAGATGGAGGTCCTTAAAGAAAGAAATTTACGAAACCACAAACAGTAGAAGGAAATGAATAAAAATGCTTCAAAACTTGAAAGTGGAAACAGAATCAAATGAAACCCAAACTGAGAGAAATCTGGAAATGAAAAATTTAGGAACTCAAACAGGAACTTCAGAGGCAAGCCTCTCCAACAGAATACAAGTGATGGAAGAGAGAATCTCAGGCATTGAAGATAAAAGAAATGGATACCTCAGTCAAAGAAAATGTAAAAGCTAGAAAACTCCAGGCGTGAAACATCTAGGGAATCTGGGACACTATGAAAATACCAAATCTATGAACAACAGGAATAAAGGAAGAAGAAACCACAGTCAATGACACAGGAAATATTTTCAATAAAATCATAGAAGAAAATGTTCCTAAACTAAAGAAGGTGATGCCTATCAAGGCACAAGAAATATACAGACCACCACCAAATAAACTGGACCAGAGAAGAAATTCCCCTCGGCATGTAATAATCAAAACATTAAGCATATAGAACAAAGAAAGAATACTAAAAGCTGCAAGGGAAAAAGACCAAGTAACATACAAAGGCAGACCTATCAGAATGTACCTCAACATCAAGGATCATCTTGAGTTACACATGTCAGGGTAAAAGGAAGGAAAATGGTATTCAAAGCAAATGGAGTTAAGAAGCAAGCTAGTCTAGCTGCTTTAATATCTGACAAAATATGTTTCAAGCCAAAACTAATCAGAAAGATAGGGAAGGACACTACATACTCATCAAAGAAAAAAATCATCAAAGAGGATACTGCAATTCTTAATATCTATGCAGTAAGAAATGGCACCAATTTTCAAAAAGAAACATTATTACAGCTTAAATCACAAGTGGGCCTCACACATAGATAATGGGTGACTTCACTACCTCACTCTTGCCAATATACAGGTCATCCAGACAAAGAATAAATAGAGACATGCCAGAGTTAATTTACACTGTAAACCAAATGGACCTAACAGATGTTTACAGAACATTTCACCCAAACACAAAAGAACGTACCTTCTTTCTAGCACCTCATAAGACTTTCTCTAAAACTGACCATATACTCGCACACAAAGCAAGTCTCAACAGATAAAGAAAATTGGAATAGCACCCTGCATCCTGTCTAACTACTGTGGATTAAATAAAGCTGGATATCAACATCTACTGAAACAACAGAAAGCTTACAAGCTCAGGGAATGGAACAGCTCTACATTCAATGAAAAGTGGGTCAGGACAGAATTAAAAAAGAAATGAAAACTTTTAAGAATTGAATGAAAAGGAAAACATGACACACCAAACTTAGGAGACACAAAGAAGGCAGTTCTTAGAGGCAAGTTCATGGCACTAAGGACCCACATAAAAAGATGGTGCCTTCGGGCAGTGGTGGCACACACCTTTAATCCTGGTCTACAAGAGCTAGTTCCAGGACAGCCAGAGCTGTTATACAGAGAAACCCTGTCTGAAAAACAAACAAAACAACAACAATAAAAAAATGGAGCAATCTCATACTAACAGCACCCAAAAGTCCTAGAACAAAAAGAACCCATACCCCAAAGGAGTAGATGGTAAGAAATCATCAACTCAGAGAAGATATCAATAACATTGAAACAAACAACTAAAGAATAGAGAAACTATCCAAATTAACAAAGTTAGAAATGAAAAGGGAGACATAACAACACACTCTGAGGAAATCTAGAGAATTAGAAGGACATACTTTAAAAACCTGTACTCCACCAAATTGAAAAATCTAAAAGAAATGGATACTTTCCTTGATACATGCTACCTATCAACATTAAATCAAGATCAGACAAACAATTTAAACAGACCTATAACCTCTAGTGAAATGGAAGCAAACCAGGGCCAGATGGTTTTAGTGCAGAATTATACAGACTTTCAAAGAAGAATTAATGCCAAATTCCTCAAATTATTCTATAAAATAGAAACATACGCAGCATTCCCAAATTCATTTTATGAGGCCACAGTCACCCTGATACCCAAACCACATAAAGACTAAACA